TACATTTTTAATGAGCGTGATATTAGCGGATCCATGAACATTTGGCGATATATCGAATTCGTTACTGAACTCGTGCAGCGTTTCGAGTTTTACGTTCGGCGTTCCATCGAACGGCTGGCTGGCTGGCTGTCTTCCAGCACAAAACGGGCCGTCGACTTCGGACTAAGGCCACGTCGTGTTCCTAGGATTAGTACGCAAATACGTTATCCGATAAGCTATCACAGGGACACGACGTTACAATTGGCATTATATTGACGGGTAGATTTAAATGGCTGTATAGTTGAGAACATATGACAAGCGCAAATGTTTTTTTGTAATAAATTAAGTTAATGCAAAAATTATAATAATTTAACGCGAAGTCCAAAGCTGTACAAATCATCTACATTATAAATCGTACAGACAAGATGCTACCGCGATTTGATAAACTCTTACATGTCTGTCTTTATTTTGAGGTAAGGCAACTCAGACTCTGACAGATACGTCATTTTGTTCGCAATTTGCAATCTTAGTTTTCACCTGGAAGAACTTCTATCGAATAATAGATGAATTTTATTAAAACAATTGATCGAAATTTTCCGTTACAAATACGTTTTTTTCTACACTTCTCGTAGAGGGTCTGTGGGATATTTCAACAGGGGGAAAGCGCGTACTATTTTCTGTACTGAATTACAACAGTAGCGCGAACGGCAAATTCTTTCCACATCGTCTATAAACAAATACGGCAATACCGTCACGAACTGCATAAACCCCAACCAATCAACCGAGCCGGCGGGACATGTGTATATATGAAACTTGCACAACCGTCGGTTTTCTTCGAATTTTCCTTTTTTTTTTGTGTTTATCTCCTGGTGCTACAGCAATGCCGATGAATAATTTCTAACGATACCGTTTACATATATTAGAAAAAAGTTCGTCAGCCAGGCCGGGACTGTTAAGGCTTCCAAATGTGGCAGCGGCTCCAGGATTGCTAATGCTGCTATTATTTGTATTTACAAAAAGTACGCCGGGCTGCCGTTGTTACCCTGGATCACGCTCGGAAATGATCGAGTCTACCCCTTATTTCTTGTCTATCGCTTCGGCGAGTCGTCGTGTGACTTTAATAGTTCTATTGCCGCTGTTAGTGGACAGTCATACTTGTAGACGAGATGAAAGTTGGCCTTGGCAAATATACTGTTCTTTGATAACTACCGCCCTATTATAATAAACTCTTTAGTGATTATAGGACAGTAAAGGTCAGCACGTATTTTATGAAGATACTATATGCCTATGCTCTCTACAACTCAGCAGTAAATTAATCAGCCGCGAACTAATGAATCTGAAAATAAGGTGGTAGATCTTTGTCAGTGTCAGATAGTACGGAAACATTATCCAATACGTCTCGGTAAGTACTACGCGACTGATTCGAACCCGGTCGATGCATGACTTCCGCATCGGTTCTCTATGTCATCAAGCAATAGAAAAATTTGTTGTCTTACCGTTGTACACAATGCTGGGAAGTTGTAGTTAACTAGCTTCAGTTGTAGCCATATTGCTTCCGAGGTTTTTAGCAAATCACGAACAGAAAAAGCTTAGGTTGCCCATAGCTTTTTGTTTTACAGAGATAGCATTCACAGGTATTAGCGCGGGTCAATAAAGCGCTTCATCGATTATCAATGAGGAGCTTTTTATAGTTGATCATTTTTGCTTCACCCTTTTTTGTGCTTTGCACCATTGCTTGAGCTGGGCCCCTTCGACGTTCGCCTCGATTGGCGGAACTTGATCAGCTTGTCTTTTCCGGCTGATATTATACATTATAAATAAATCAACCCTATATTCTGATGTACCTCGAAGTTTCATGCGGGGCTATTGCAGCTTTTTGCAGCCTTATTTTCACGTAACTTTTTAAGGTTTAAAGGTAACTGGCAAAGTTGAAGAAAACCGAAAATTCCAGTAAACCGCCTCAGAAGTTTTCGATAATTGATTTTCGGTTTTTTCTATGACAGTTTTCGGTGCCGCTACACACTATTTCACAAAAGAGCCACTATATCGAACTGAGAAGAACGAACAAGAGAAAACATTGCTGGAATAAGCCACTTTTTTATTGCACGAATCATATTGAAGGATCGAAGTGTGCTTGTGTTGAGGCTCGAACACAGACCACACGGCAATCTTCTCCGCTTAAAAGGTATACCACTGCCCAATTGCGTCTATATCATGTAAAACTGCACCGGATCTATTACGGCGTCCTTAGCTAAAACATGTAAAGGATTTTATTTGTAACAGCAAATATATCAATAGCAAACCTTCAGAGCTTGACTACTATAGAATAACCCCCTGCACAGTGTAGCGACCTGTTTTATGTGTTTTGTCGTACTCGTTTGGAGAGACGCGAGGCATTTGCAGACGACAAACAGATGCATCGCTTCGAATATGTTGGTCTTTTTTTACCTTGAGCTACTCATAATATGGCGTGCCTTTACTGTTGTTGTTATTGTTACCGCCACCGCTGCTGCCGCCAAGATCGAACACTAATATCTGTCGTGCATCTGTGGCGATTCTGTTCGTATTCTATATTTGGCTGCCTTATGCGGCAGTGATATAATATTCCACGATGCGTGCGTTAATGATATCTTCTTTTTCCTTTTCGAATTTGGCGCCGATATTTTTGTCGCGTTCGTATTGTTGAGGTACGTTGGCCTCCCCCCATTTGTGTGGCGCAGACTGTCCACTTGCGTCTGACGCTATCTGAACAAGAAATTTGTTGGGAAGAGCTGCAGCAGGAGATGCTTTTTTAGGTCCACCAGTCGTAGGTGCATTCCCGTCGGTCATCCACAGTGACCCCTTGGCCCCTGAACACACTGGCCAATGCTGATTGCATCGGCAGTCGAACGTAGCACCATCATATATTAGTATCGCTATTATTGCTTACTTTCGTTGCATGCTGCAATATTTAGACCATCTGAGCGAACGACGATATCGGGTTGAATGCGACCAATGCACAGCGCGAGACCAGACGTAAAGATACGATAGTAAAGCACAAAGCAAGTAAAACTACCGTCGACCTTCCCCCATACCGCCATATTATCCGGCGCTCATACGTAATACCTCATACAGACAGATCGCTAGCGCTCGGCGTATGTAGCTGCTGCAGTGCGCTGATATTCTTTCTGCTATTGTTCTGCTCCTCCGTCCGGCGAAAACACTGGAGATATAGGACGGACCTACTGGAAACTGTTTAAAACAAGGGACGCTAACGAATAGAATGCACGACACGTTCCAACTTTGCTCGATCTGAATGAAGCTGCCGAACGATGAACGTGTTATACAACAGCCAGCGGTATTATCGTTTGCCGTAACGAAACATGGAAAACCATGTTGATCGACCCTCATAAGCTTATTCTTTCTAGTGGCGTTGCCTGTGCGTACTGTATTATATATTCAACTATCGATCCCGTCATGGAAATAGCGATCCGGAACTCCAAAAACAAAAAAGTCCTCATTCTTTAATACGTTAATTTTTTCTCCCAATGAAACCACTTAGCTATATTCTATAGACGCATGCAACTGCTCGTGTGACTGTGACGGTTTTGATCCACATCTACTATGATAGTAGGTATTTTGTTTAGGTTGAAGATTAGTTTTTTTTTTTTTAAAGACATCAGCTTGTTAATGTTGGCCAATGATTCCCTAGGGCGCAACCATCAAGTCCTCTAAAACGTAACCGTTACAATTTATACCCATATCGTAACAGCGTCATTATAGCCGCGTTATGGTGATAAATGTCGTAGTGATGATGGTCGTCGTAGTAATAATTTCGAATAGTCCATTACCGAGTGGTTATTTGCTTTACATACATTAAGGTTTACAGGTAATGTTATAACAAAGGCCTTTGTTATACTGATTGCTCAAAGAAATAAAAAACTTGTTTGTATAATAGCAACGCCTATAATCAAATCTATTTGGCATAGCGTCAAAATACCCATAGAAATATTATAATGTAACGCCGTGCGGTCGATATTGTGTTGACGATTGTGTCGTCTGTCTGGTCTTTCCTATAGCTACTAGTAGTAGGAGTAGTAGTGGAAACCAATGCTAACTCACCCCAAAAAGGGGAGATGCCGACGAGCAAGCAACTCCTTGTACATGGCTAGCTCCCTTTTGCTTTTTGAATCTTTTTTTCATACATATATATATAACAAACAGTCTTGGTTTTGTAAGAACCATTGACCCTCGTTAGGGGCTATGTTGCGTCTTTTTTGGCAGCATGGTTACTATATTAATCGCTACTACTAATGTACTATATTATTTGATTTAGTTAAACCCACTGATGATCTGTTGATAGTTTGTTGCATCTTATTGTACTGCTGGTTTTCAGCCACAGGTAGGACTTGAAACGGAAGATTTCTTTCTTCGTAAAACCCCATTAATCCTCTCCTGCCGATAGTATCAGGAACCGTTCGAGAAGAAAAGCACACTTCTTCATTCAGCTTTTTTTAGATCACGTTCCTTTTATTGGCCCTGCTTTGTCGATGTGACGAAGCACGCTCTTAATTCTATAGGCCTTCGTCTTCATCGAGAATCAACGTTTCAGTCATATAACTGCAATGGTATCACAAGTAGCACGCTTAATCGCAGCAGTTGGATGCCGTATTCGATTTTGGGTGACACCATTGCTAAACGTTCACCGAACCCTGCTTTGAAGCCGCCGTCTGCTCTGAAGCCGCCGCTAGCGATTCAACTCGTGTCTCTAAGATTAAAAAAAAATTTACTTAATTATTATCTACTTGCTCCACGATTACGTACTTTTAGTAAACAGCTTATTAACTAAGTATAACTAAAGCAATCCAGATAAAGGGCTTTTTTGCTTGGGTTAGAACATCCCTTGGATCGGAATGCTTAGTAAAAAGTTTTTAAAAAGCATTTTTAAAAACTTTTTGAGGCTACCGAGGTGCAGAGTGTCTTGAAATATTCAATAACAAACTAACTTAATTGCTTTGGCTTTCGTGAGTTTTTTGTAGGCCATATCTTGTATTGTGTGTCCGCGTATCCGTTGTCCGTATCAATGGATCACCTGTTCTTCGGCCTTTTGTTTACCTTTGTCGTCCTTACACCTATTTCACATAAACCAAAATCTTATGTTTACTTTCAAGCGAACTATTCTATAGTATGCCAAACAAGATGGCTTTTCGCAGGCTCAAATGGATACGCATGCATATGGTACGATAGAAAGCGTCAGTTAATTACGACAGGCCCCGTTAGAGTGTATATCATTCACAAGTCATGGGACAGACGCATCTACTCGGAAAATATTGGCTTGTCGAAACTATATTGCTCGATCTTCTAACTAGATAACTTTCAAGTCACCTATCTCAGGTTATATGGATCGGCGTTGGTCTCATTTGAAAGCTGAAATTTGGCAGTACTAAATGTCATAATTTGTTGAAATGTTTTTACTTGAAGTTAAAATAGAGCACCTTTCAAGTTATGCGATGTTTATTTTTTACAAAAAATTCCTATATTGCACATGTTTGTTACGGTAAAAGCACAAACGCTGCCCAGATACATAGACAAAATGTTTGCTGTTTATGGTCAAGGTGCGCTATCGGAAGAAACGATTCAAAAATGATGTGTCGCTTTCGTTCTGGAAACTTCCATATGAAAGATGCTCCTCGTAGTAGGAATTACGGGAAACATTGATGAAACCATTGCGAAAGCTAAGCAAGATCAACACGTGAACTACTACCAATATAGGATCAAACAGTTTTAAGACTATCTGAGAAAAACCGCATAAAAGCTTGACGTTCCAGTGCCACACGAATGGACGCGTAATGATTTGCTCGGTTGTATTCTTATCTGGCAAACCCTACAGAAACGCAACTATTCTCAAATCGGTTGATCGGGGCTGATGAAAAATCGATTACATAGGAAAATCTAAAACTGTGCTGTATAATTTATGGCAAAGCCTAGATTGACGTCAAAAAAGATGGCGCTATGTGTTTGCGGAAACTAAGAAAGAATCGAGTTACTGCCACCTCGCGAAACAACTGATTCACACCTCTACTATCAACAACATTAGAACGAGCCATCGAAAAGAACTGACCGGAACTTGTGAACCTTTCACCATCACAATTATTAAAAAAACATTTTGCGCGATGACCAAATGTCATCGGCCATGAAATGGTGCACAACTTAAGGATAAATCAGCAACGGTTATAACTCTTCGACAATCCAATACTGAATCAAACTTAATAAAAATGTTCAAAGGATATACGGGACAAATAGACGTCACGACCTCTGGTGCCATCTCAAGGGAACTTGGCAAGTTTGTCGAACTAGTTATATATATATATATATATTCAAGGAGCCCATATGATGCAAACTGTTTGCAATATATTGCGCTGTTCACTTGTGAAATTTTACACGAAGCCTTCAATTATTACAAAATCTGATTTGACAATTAAAAAAACAATTCACTGTGACACTTCGTTCCTTCACTGTTTGGAGCCATATTGAATCGTTATTAGCGGTCATGGTTGGAAACAATGCAATCGCATGTATGCTATCGTAATACTCTGTTGCTTCTTTAAAGAGTCACACATGTCTATGTCATTGCGCTACGAAGTGGAAGAGAAGCTGCGGTAAAAAAAAACAGGTAACACAGCTGTGTTATAGGGGACGGTAACAAAGTGGGTTATTCTCCGTGAGAAAGAGGTGGGCTTGAGTGGTTGGGTTTGGAAGTAGGAAGCCCGTCACAGGGCGATTGTGATGCCAAAGGCTTAAGTAGTACACGAGACAATACGTTGCGTATCTTCTTTCACTTATAAACATTGTGCTATGTACTACTGTTTGTTATTAAAGTAATTATTTCTACCGTACATTTATGTTATGGGTGGAAATGGGTCTGTGCGTTATTCTAAACTTCGTGTGAATGTCACACACTCCACAAATGGACTCCCCTCATCACCCGATGGTATTTCAAGGACGGAGGGTTAAGATGAAAGGATAGGAATCATGAGGGGTAACTGAAGCATCCAACCTTATTCGGGTAGTGATCTCATTAGTATGCGTGTAAGCCGTATAATTATTTGAATTGAGCGAACCTAATAGGTGACATCTTTGCTAATGACAGTGATAACGCCGGCCAGACGGGGGCAACATCAAAGCAAACTAGCGGCGTCAGCCGTTATAAGGCATCGACGTTAATCATAGCATTTAATAGAACTGCAAATGGTATAGCCGAAAATTGTCCTGTTTTATTAGGCTCACCTGAAGACTAACAATCCCATAGAGCCAATGTCAACCTCTCAGTGGACTGACTCGTTCTGACTACAAATATCTTGAGTTTTCCACATAGCAATACGAAGGTGTACCTTACGATGCTACTTGTAGCTTAACTAGCTGTAAAATAATTTGTTTACATGTAATCCTGCTGGCACCATACCAAAGTAGAAATAAATGCGATTTTTACTAACTCCTGACAAAATTTCTGGTAGTATAATGACATGTGCACTTACTTGTAAAGTTAAATGCCAGTCGCATACCGCTGCTACATGCGTGACGAAGCGTAGTTGCTTAACGTCAAATCAGTATCCGCTTTTCTTTGGTTTACTATCATCGATATCATAACCATCGTGTTGCCTAAGCGTCTTTTCCGTCCAGCAGGTTCCATCCCCTACTTGTGTTTGTTTGCATAGCTATAATATGCACATGATGCGTGTATCAGAACACATATCTAGTCACAGATAGTTTTGCTAACACTAGCCTAAACGTAATGGTCAGTCGTTGAGTTGCCTACCCAACGTATTTGTATAGTATAGGGCAGGTTCTGTTTATCTCTGCTCCTGATGATGCTGTTGCAGTCGTCGTTGTCGGTGCGGCTTGCTTGAGTATCTGTCTAATAGTCTGCCTGTGGCCATGTCTGTCAAAGCAGCGAACCCCTTGCCCCTGGTCGCTGCTCCTACTGGGCCCCCGGCACCCACTCGCTCGCGGGCGCCGCCGGCGAGCTGCTAGCGAGGCACCGGCTGGCGGCCGCTGCTTTTGGCTATAAGGGTCGATGGCGCGTCATCCCCGAGGAGAACGTCGTCCGATCGTCCCACTGTCGAGTGGCATCGTTTTCGTATGTCTCAGTTGTTCCTTTTGTCTTAGTCTTTACGTGGTTGTTCCTGTTGTCGTTACTACAGTACGCTAGTTGTGCAAATCATATGTTTTTACCTTACTGTTATTCCTTCGCTTTTCATCACGCATCTAGTGTGCCTTTCTAGTATTTTTCGTGTTTGTGGCCCTTTGTAAGTAGTTGTCTTGTGTTCGTGCAATTATAGAATTGTCGTCGTTGTTGCTAAGATGAAGTCGTATTCATCGGTGTTATTGCATTTAGTACTGATGGTGTGTTCGATATGGTATCTGCCCTCTGAAGCGTACGAGTACAACATTCAAATTACGCATGGCCCGCCGGCCCCAAACGGCGACAGCCCGTACGATACGCAAGCAAGGAGCAGTGTGCACGTGCGCGGACCTCAGTCGCAGACGTCGGCGACCGCTTCAGTTGCAACTTCGGAGGCTACTGCTCCAGAATTCAAAGATGAGCAGGCCTATGCCTCCGAAGGATACCATGGATACAGTACAACAGACAAGAATAGCGCACCACAGTACGCTGTTTCCCAGCCTGATAGCAAATACAGATACACTGTCGAGGGACAAAATGAGGAACCTCAAACAGAGATCCGCTATGTAAACCAGGAGGAAGCCGCAAAGTACCATGGGTACCAGTCAGGTCCCGAACAGGAACAGAGCATCAAATATGTACCTACCGATGAGGCTCACAAATACCAACAACCAACGCCAGCAGCATACCAACATGTTGCGCCTCAAAGGAAATATCAGGGATACCGTCAAGAATTTGAAGCACAAAAGTATCAGACATACCAACCTGTCCCCCAAGCGGAAAAATACCAGTCATATCCGCCTTCGTCAGTTACTGAAAAATACCAAACGTATGAGGCGCCTCAATCCAACAAATATCAGACATACCAAACTGCTCCCCAGGCATATCAGGCTGTCCAGGCTCAGCCAGAAAAATATCAGTCCTACGAAACACAGCCAAATGCCGAAAAATACAGAGGCTACCCGCAGAGCGCCATTCAAAAGTACCCGACTAGTGCGGATGCCGAGCAGAAAATTCAGTATGTCACCCCTGACCAGCAAACGCAGTACGCACCTGCCCAACAGGAAGAGCAACAAGTTCAGTACGTGCCCCAATTCGAGACGCAGACAGGACACAGCCAGGCCGGTCCTGCTGCTCCAGCTAAGCATCGGTATGGTCAAGCCGGTGCTTATGAAAAGCAGAGCACGGGCTACGCGCAGCCTGGCGCCTACCATTATGCAGCACCCGAAGCGAAATACCAGACGGCTGCTGGTGCTGCTGCTAAGTTTAATTATCCCGCATCTGCAAACGTGCAGTACGTAACCCAGCCACAATACGCGAAAGCACCTGCCCATGTCGCTGAGAAATATACGAGTTCGCCCTATACAGTTCCCGGTCAAAAGGTGAAGTTCGAATTTTCTGCTGCAACCAGTTACGTGCAGAATGGGGAGTATTTGAAGTCTCCCAAGGCTCATGGCGTAGCTCAATCAGCCAGCGTGACCCAGCCGGTGGCTCACAAATACGTTCCTTCGGCTCATCCTGACCTCGCCCAGGTGGCTGCCCATGGTGCGTCGGCGTACGGACACGCTTATGCTGGAAACGCAGCTCCTGGGTTTGCCTCCGAGGGTTACCCTCACCCAGACTATGCCCATCCGGCACCCGCGCCTGCAGGACAAGCGGCCGTGCACGCGGTCTACGCTGAGCCTCAGGTTCACGCGGTCCCCTCCACAGCACTACAAGCATACCATGTTCCTCACCCAGCAGGCCCTCACGTAACAGCCCAAGCTGCGCCTGTGCACAAAACCACCTCCCAGCATTCGTTCCCTGAGCATCTTGCCCGTGGTATCGCTCGAAACAGCCCCTCGCTGACCGCGCATGACCACAAGGTGTACAACTTCTATGATGAAAAGAAGTCTGCCGCAAAGAAGTCGTCGAAGAAGAAGTCTAGCTAAATTATTTGTATTCTCAATTTGTCTCCGTAAATGCCTAAACACGTAGAGCTGTATACTAGTAGTTGAAATAAAAACAGCGGTAATGCTTCATCGTGTTAAAACCACATTGTCCTCAGCGGAAGCATAAGTAAAACAGCCAATCATGTCGAAACAATATCATATAGACCTGAACGAGCGGCACTTAACACATACTCCGCTCGGCATTGCCAACACGTCAAATGTTTGCCCTCCTCATCACGCCAACAAAGTGATTTCGGCAATGAGTAGACTCAAGTGGAAGTAATTATTATGATATTTAAACAGTCCTGTCTTTTGTTCGTTGATGTAGAGGTGGCTGTAGCAAACGAGACAGTCTCGATTCAGGCGGCAAATAATTAGAAGCCGTTTGAAACCCAGAAAAATTACGAGTCTACGAAGGTTGAACGGCTATCATCAAAAAGCGCTATTCGTTGTCATCGGCCAATTCGTTGATGCTATCGCTGTTAATTTCCTATGCCGTTGCAAAAATTTTTGATTATTTTTTTCGCTACAGTATATCCCTAATAATGTTATGTTATATAATGTTTTCGATGATATGTATGTATATATTAATATGTCTAATGTTTGCCAAAGTTCCTCAGGGAGGCCGTACAGATATTGTTGACTAGATTGTCCCGTTATAATTATCTGTGATCGCATTTCACTTCAGACTTTCACAGTCGTCACCACGTATAGCAAAAATAAAATGCATGAGAATAGCAGTCGCATAGATCGTCTTCTATGTAGTCATTTCAGGGGAAAGAAGGGAACGAACCCCCCAACAAATTCGACGTAATGTAAATATGATGTAGCGGTTTACTATATTCGGTGTACGCCGTTGCTCGCGCACATGGCTCCGCAATATAATTATTTTCGCTGTAATAGTTCGACAATAATAATACCGTGTGTATTTTGGTCGATGGCCAGTTTTCTACTAACCCAGAATGCGAGTTTTAGCGAAGGAAGCTTAAAGCCGGCTCTCTCGATGTCCCTGGGCTATGGGTTTAAGTCAGCAGCCTTCGGCATTCAAAGGGCAAAGGGAATGCCCTATCTAGCGTTATCTATCTGTTTATATCATAGGTTTGTACATTTTTTCTATAATGACTTGGTGCTGATTGAGATAGGAATAAATGACGACGCTGATAGAAGTCGTTTGTAAGGTGAAAAACTCCCTTTTTTGAGAAATTTAAAAGTAACTCAGCTTTCAAGTTACAGGGGATCGTATTTGTGCGTTCTTAAAAGCGATCCACAGTTACCGCTCTACTAGTAACTTACACAGCTTCTTTTAAGATACAATTAATCAGCAACGAAATTGGTAGTATTACAAGTACAAACGCATCACCTATTGAATAGTGGTTACCGCACTGTTAGTTTTATCAGACTAGCACTATTTAAAGGCTAATACTGTGACGACGTCAACCGTAAAATGGCGTCGTGTTTGGAAGGAATCCCACACAAGCACCGTTGATCCGTATCGATAAATCCACAGAGAAACTGTCATCCATTGCTTAGAGTGCAATAAACAGCCTCACATCAAGCGACGAACCGAGAAAAGATGTTGAATGTGAATCGCTGGGTAAAAACATTGCTACAATGTAATGGTAAAAAAATATTAGATACCATAGGGCAAGCTATAAATTCGAAAAGCCGTTGTGACATCCCTCTTAAATCCGAAGTCTGAGAAGAACAATATCTGGTAATGCTTGACGCTTGTCATCGTATAATGAATTCATATGATGTTTTCTAATGACGGAACAGAAGAGAACGACTGCGAATTTACAAAAAAAAAAACCGTTTATTACAACAAAGTAAAATATTACAGGAAGTCATTTCAGTAAACAATGGTTAGCGAGATCCATAGAACTGATAGACGGAATGGTATACAAAACATGTACTACGGTTAAGCGTCTTTGCTCAAACGGATATACTCTATCAGGAAAAAAATATCCAACTTTGTTTAGTACGTTTGATATGATAGCCAAGGATATTGCATCATCTATCTAGCGGAGGCTGAACTTAAGTGTTCTTCATTCAATTATATAATAGTAAATGTAATAGTCTAACTCACAGTCAGTTTGTAGCGCCTAGCTACATAGCGATGACCACTGTTATATAGCGCTATGTTTCAGCAAAATTAACTCGTTGTTTGTCCTGAAAAAGACCGAATAGGAATGAATACAACTAACCTGGAGGCCGTTCCAAAGGCTGTGGTGATCGCTTGTAGCATATCGAGCAGGAACGTAAACGGCTCTTGTCGCATGATGAGCATGTAGATTGCGGGTAGGACAATGAATCCATGTAATAGAAGGCCGAGTATTACGGTTAGTGTGTACATACCGACTTGTCCGGCGACAATGGAGAAGTCTTTCATCTCGATTACCTTAGACATCACCAAGAACATGACACCAACAGGTGACAACCTGCGAACGGTATTCACAGGAGCAGAATTTCATTGAACGAACCTATAGAAAATTTTCTAGTTAAATGAAAAAAATGTATACCTAATTTTAATGTGTGATTCATTGACGTACTAGAGTTAATGGACCTATTTACGCTAGCTGCTTTATTTACTACAATCGCATTTGCGATCTATAGAGTATTAGAGCTTTGTAGCTCTGGAGAGACCTAAACGTTTAAAATGAACCTCGTAAGTGAGCCGTGACTCGAACAGGGCAGAGCTCGTTCAGTCACAATGTGCATCAAACCGATTTCAATATCTATGCGTCTCAGTATGGCTAATTGTGTGGCCCCCGCTGTTGCGCTATAACGACGCCTCTTAGTGATTTTATGTTACGGAAAGTGGCAGGGGTCAGTTACCCCAGTAAAAAAATCTAAATGAAGGTGTAAATACATAAATTGGCTGACGTGACACTGCCCAAAAAATGTCCCCTGCTTTAGCTAAAAAATTTCTAGGACACGAACACAGAATTCGGTTGTTATCAGCTATACGTAAATTACATAGGATAATGTTTCAGGCCCTGCGTAAAGTTCAACGAATGTTTATTGGATATTCTACTAATTACACACAGCCCTTGCTTGATGACCACAGTGGGTCAGCTGGCCCACATAATAACAAAGTGGGCCGATGCTACAGTGCGCCTTTCCCTTCGTGTATGCACCCTTTACTGAGACAGCTTCCTACTGACAGATGCACATGGAGATGTTTTTGTATATGCTTAGTTATTTAATTAATTAACGTCGTTGTAGCTGGTGTTACTAAATTGGAGCATTGTTCAATGTTAGCTAATTTTTTTCGACCGTATGGTTGCACATTGTATGTACACAAGATGTTTGATACCCACATTTTGATCATTTTTTTGTTTAAGTATTTCTCGTTAGATAAGCTAATGCCTGCATCTGTGTATTGCCTCTATGAACAGAAATCATCCCGCGGCTTGTTTTCAGTTAGCAGAAACGAAAAAAAGCACACCACCTCGTTAAGTTTAGGCTACGATAGAAAACCTCTCGTCGACAAGCATATATAAGTAATTTAATTATCTAGGTGTGAGCAATCCACCCCTATAGATGGTCGGCGTTTGCAACACGTGTTTTTGAGCCCGGTCCGCCTGAATACTAGATGACCAACTCACCATCGTTGTCAAGGCAACTTTAAATTTCAACATTTTGCTTTTCTTTCTGTTTACTATTTTAGCTTCGGTTATCTATTTGATCTTATCTTCAATGTAGAAAGTTAATATGCATATTTTGCGTATTGGCTAACCAGAGAAGAGATCATTGTCCATGTCATCCTGGAATCCTGCTCTATACACAACGTGCACACAGATACGTTCACGCGTAAGTCATGCAACGCAATTTCGGTATTTAAGGCTTGGACATAAATCCGTATTATGTGAGTTTCCGTGCTGTCGTATCGTAATACAGAACTCGCGCTGGCAAGCTTCTTATGAAATAGCGTTCTTTTTGAGCAGGCCACTCGCTATAAATATTCGGGCTCATATGGATAGCTCTCCCCGGTAAAATAATAATTTTATCGACTTTGGTTAGTTCAGGTTGCTGTGGTAATTTTTCGGATTTCGACATATGATGGCATTATAGTAACTTTTTTAGTAGAAGAAAAATATACGCCCGATCCAGCTGATGTGCTTACGTGGTTGTCTATTTGGAATAACTTCTTCACAACACCCATCACGAAGTCGTCTGTAAACGTCTAATTTTTTTCGTCGTTATCAAGCGTGAAAATCGAGAGCTGATGGAAAAAGCCACATATTTTAAAAAATGGTATTGCCTTGTGTGATGAGGTTGACTAAATGCCTCATTTTAGCTAATTGCTGATGATCAGCCTTCATCTGTATGTAGTAGTTCAGCGTTACATATTGTACAAAATAGCGTTTCTAACTAATAGCAGCCGCAGTAGTAACACACATGAATCTGTGTATTTACGCCACATGTGATAAAGCATGTCCTTATGGTCTACTATTTTAAAAGCAAAGCCAACACATCGAGGCAGAAAATAGATGTGTAACCTCTCAGTCCCTGATCTATCGAGAGATCAGAATACAGATGGAAAACTTGCACATTAAATTAATACCTTTGTCTTTTTTTTTCTTTTATCTCTCCTGCGCCACTCGTCTCGTACCTCGTTCATACCTGATCGACTTCACATCTGTCCGCAGTTTATGTCTCCCACATCATGAATACCGGCAGCTGAGATTTATGTGCTTTTTAACGTCGAACCATTAAATTCAGCTTATTGACTCGGATGTATCGAGAAAAATAAGCCTAGCTGATTTAAACGAGATACCCTTGACGTTTGTTACTCATAACTGGAAACCGGCAGTGACGGAGTCATCTGGTGAAATCCGAATAGATATAGTCTAAGACTCATGACAAATAACTTTATATCATTTTGAAAAGAAAAGCTTTATATGCTCGATGTGCGATTGGCCGTTCTGTAGGATATTCTTCAGTCAATTTCTGTCAGTGTTCATTTGTACCAAGTTCAATTATCTTACGAACCTTTCCCTGGGTTTTAAAATGAGTATTCCCTGTACCTGATAGTCGATAGATATGTCCCAGCACATGAACGTACATACAAAGCAGATTGCTTAAAACAGTTTAGGCCAGAAAAAGACCTTTCGAATAGCTGTTTATGAAGTACCAGAAACGTACGATCTACCTGCTGTACCAGAGGCGAAACGGAAAATTTAGAGTAATACGCGTACCTAGTTTCTACTGGGGAAAACATAATAGGTGATGCGAGATCAGGCTATATAGTCTATAATTCCTAAGGATAAATATACCAATACGATGCCAGTAGTAAAGAGTAGTTCTATTTCCTAGCTTTTTTTTTTAATGAAGGATCGCAGTGAATATGAAACATATCGATCGATGTATTATCGAATTCTACAGATGGTGTGATTGTTTAGTTCCTATAAACTGTCAGTGTATGTAAATAACTTAAAAATGTAACATATGACTGCTTTGGCAGTGAATCTATCATGAATCATATTAGATATCTCCGAATAGCACCCTGATACGCTGTCCAATATGACAACTCATCATTGAATTCATGGAACGTGTTTTTATGAGATCTAGTACATAAATAAACAGCACTGCCAATCGTTCAGAATTCACATCTTCACGTTATTTGTTCCCTATTTAAACTAAAGGATAAAGCATAATGCGTATTGCAGTGAAACAAGCGTATACCCTGACAATTAATGAGGTAATTGCGCCCCGTCGTTTCTGACGCACGCCTACAATTTGCGGAGGCGTCCGTGTGATGTCAAAAATGGAAGTTACTTAGGGCCTCTGCCCCCCCCCCCCTCGTATTTCGCCGCACTAGCGAACGAAATGTTCCCCTTTGTATTGATCATTGTCTGTCGCCATCTGTAACAATAACGAAGCAGGATAACGCATGCGCATACATGAATGGCGGGCGTAAAGAGTCCTCTCCTCGTGTTCGTACCTGGTCAAAAAAAAGAAACCTGAAACGTCGCCCTTTGTCTTATCAGTGTGTTTTTTTTCCTCTTCGTATCTATTTGCCATCTGGGAACTGGCCAATATTAGTGCAACGTCGTCCGCCGTGCTCGATCGGCGACCTTCTAGAGGGGCTCGACGACTGAAACAGATAGCCACATTATGGATGCCCCGCATCATTATCATCATCTGGGACATTACTGGTTGCCTTATTCTATGTTACCATGTCCTACAACATATGTATTATATATGGAGAAAAATCAAGTCAGGTCTCCTCTTCTGACGCAGGCACACATCGACGTGAAGAGTAATTACTTAAGCCAACTCGTTCTGGAGCAACGGCGCAAAATGACTGTAGCAAAGTCGCGAGTAGTCTTTCACGACAGCATTTCTACGCAGTCATCTGTGACGAGTACGCCATTAGTTAACTAACCGCCGAAAGGAAGCGGTCAACCACTCGGATCGTGTTTCCACCGTCTGACCGCTCGCCAGTCATTACCCTTTCTCTCACCCCCCGCCCACTTCGTTCCAACAGCCAAACGTCGGTTAACACCGCCCCTTAGCCGCTAACCGTGCAACGTAGATCACCGTTATAATCATCTTAATCAACGGCGGCAGCAACAGTATCAATTTTTTATGATGACGGTGATGATGATCATCGCTATTGCTAACAATTACAACAACAGCCAAATTTTCTAAAACGAACACAGCGACAACCTTTTTGTTGTCGAATTGAGAGATTTTTGGGATAGGGGAGTGTTGTCGAAAGCGAGGTTGATGGCTGCGAAAGGAGTGAAATCTTTGCGGACTGGGTCATTTTTTAACCTCTATGAAAATAAGCGCGAAGCATTTATTTAGTAGTTATGTGTAGCGGGCTCTGCACTGGCCGATTGGGGCTACCAGCAACCAAGCTAACCCAATTTGGTATAGCGATTTTTGGAGTTTGCTCGTCGGAACAATGGGCATCATGATGAGAACGTTAATGAAACTCTGACAATCATGAATATCAGCTATGGATCGGCAGCTCACTATAACTCGTCAAGTTGAGATACAGACTGACAAAATAAAAATGGGCGTAAGAACAATAACAGTACGAGGATAATTAAGTATAAGGTTATTAGTTAGAAGAAAAAAAATAGTAATTGAATGTTACTCATAACCAACTAGTTTGTAGCGTAAGGCAGATAGACAAAGTGCGCGTTCCTCTGTTGACAACAAAACCAGCCCGTTGCAGTAAGGATGATGTCGAAGACGAAGGCAATGAATGGACAGATTATGTTTGTGTACACGTGAACAATCGAAGAGTCAGCTCTGGTCTGCGAGCGATAAACAGCTATTTTCGCTTGTGAGTTATGGCCATCGGCTACAAAGACAAACCAAAGGATGAAGTAAATATTGCAGCAAGAGCATGTGGCCTCATAAAGCCAAACTGATATAGGGGGGACGGATAGCTAAGAACCAAGCCCTTTGTATATCGACAACTTCTAATAATGTCTGTTTGTATACGTTTGAATGCTTCGAGTGGAGGGATATGCGACTCCACCGGGTAAGTTGAAGAAGCTTACCTCATGGGAAAGTGATGCATACAAGTGTCACTGAGCACAGGCAAGTACAAAGCAAAAACAGCCATCTTGCGTTGCCAGCGCATGTCAGTGACCACCATTATAGCGACAAAATGAATGTCTAAAGTGATCCCTGTACCACGCTATCGTCGTTTGGCGATATTATATGAGCAGTGAACTAGTGTTCTGTTGAACTTTTTTGTGGGTATACGTGAAAGTGTGTGAGAAACTTTTGCTGTTTCTGTTTTATTAAGGTGGCACGTTATCGTCTTTCCCCTAGTTCCAATCGGAATCTACGTAGAGAAGGTTTCAAGGGAACTGGCATGAGGATAGCTGTCTGAAAGTGGATGTCTATATCTATGATTTTGTTTTAAACTGGATGGCCACCATTGACGTAATTCAGGCGTTTACAGCAAATTATTACGGCCTTCGTCCTTCAGACCTAGCGCCGCCGGCAGGCTCGTCAGGACGAATGTAGAGCCGTGTTTCCGATCTCAATTAGGAATATAAACCTGGTAAAAATGCTTTTCATTGATTCTGGACGTCTACGCTGACACTGCTAGAGAAAAAACAAAAATTAGAATACTTAAGAAGATGTACAGTTATCTTGTAATGCAAAAAAGGTACGATGAACGAGTGCGATTTTCCTGCCTTTACCTTTACAGAAAGTTGGATCGTTTGACGAAAAACAATTCTATATATTTTTCTCCCATTTTAAGTGGATGCTTGTTACTCTGCAAAACGGGCTTCTGCACTGGCCCACAATTGAGAACGTTTAAGCGATGGGCTACCCACGCTTAAGCTATGAAAATGCTAAAAATCAGTTTCGATGTTGAACGATATTCGCCTATTTTAGATTGACTAGACAAACAAAAAGTAGCCGTATTTTGATCTATTCAGAGATGTTTAGAAGACCAGTGCCCACTTTACCTTGAAGCACAACTATTTAAATTAATGGCCTAATTAGAAGGACAAACGTGCCAATTAAACGCGATATATCACGAACCTATACAGGCAGGAATTGCCCGTTGCAAATCCTCTCGACAACATATAAATGTTACACGATTCTCATAAATAACAAGCACTTTCTCAATTACAAACAGTGTTTAAAAATGTATTCGTTTAAGAGCTGATGCTCGTCTTTCTTTGTTGATATGGAATAAAGTAGATAGTATCTTTTATGTACGCAAAGATAAGCGGACACGATGTCTTAATCGCTAGCATATAATGCACAAAAAAAACACTGTAATTACCTTAACTAACTATAAAAATTATCTCTTGTAGCTAAATGTCTGATGTTGTTAACCGTAACCAGCATTGTTCGCCAGCCTTTAAAATAGCGCGAGTAGATTATTAACTACTAGTAGAGGTTGGGCCAAACACACAATGAAAACCATATTCCAGCTATACAGATATTGTACCATTCGGACTTTGATCGCCTTGAGATCTCCCACAACAATTCGCTATAGGAAACAAAAGTCGTGTGGTTATCTAGCATCTGTGAGCATAAAAAAAAAACTGAAGTTAGCAAAAAGTCACACCACTAACGTTCTATAGATTATTTTAACTTCAATGAACACGTCTTGCATGCACACACTGCTATTAGTTGTATCATCATCGAACGGAAAAGTTTATTCAAATCAGGAAAATAAAAAGCTAGCATGACATGCTCATACCAATTAGCCTAACAGAAAGCGTGCCTATTCATAAACTTGATAATAACGTGCAATGCATTGTCACTCGTTCCGATGACGGTGCAATGAAAGCATTTAACCGTATGCCGTAAGCAATCTAGGTTCAAAAATTAGGTGCGAACAGACATACTTCGTTTCGTATTGGGAACTAGCCGTTTGAAGCAATAGGGAAATTGTCTGCTATTTGGCCTAGCATTGTGACGTCACTTCTGCATTAGGCCTGGATCTTGAAGGCTTGTCTGTGTGATGATGGCTTTTTCCAGCTCCGTAGTCTCATTCGTTGCAAATATTTCGTTCGTTCTACTGCCACGTTGCGTTTTCAATCGTGTCGTAATCTTATTAATCTCTCCCACCAGGCGTCCTGCTCACAAGACCCTTACTGTTATTGTGATGGGAGCCCGAAGTAGAATAGATACTCACCAGACAACGACCTTTGTAATCAACATCATGGCGTCTGAGAGAGCGGTGAAAAAATCCAGCAAAGGTTTTCCGCTCTCACCCATTCGGCCGATAATTGTTCCCAGGGCGATACAGAACACGATTAAACCGAGAACATTCGTTCCAGAATCTTTCACAGTCTTGAAGTCCCAGTCGTACATACTTCCTGATAATGGAGAAACCGACAAGACTTAGGATTAGGAGGTTTCTGACAGTACACTGTCAACACGCGCTGGTAATATAAAGATAGCTCCAAAGGTCCCTCATGCATAGTACATGCCTAGTACATAAATTATTTATTTGTCCAAGGGAAACAGTCACGTAAAACAATTAACAATGGATAATCAGCATTTGTATATTTGTCACCTCAAAATGGGCGGTTCAACCTATCTAATTGTATGCGTTAACACACATCAAACACAACTTACCTGTTGCATTCTCTGGCTCTATGACGATTGTCGAAAACTGAAATGCAATATTAAGGAGACCAGTCAGAGCTTAGATCAAAATACATGACATGAGCATCATGTGAAATTTGCAAAACTGATAACCCTCGTTGTTTTGTAGCACTAAATACTAAATATTACCTTAATAACATCTCCTTTTTGGCCTACACCCTTAACCTGTGAGAAGTCATTGTATCTAAGTTACTCCTATACGATAATGGGCAATGATTAATATCGATCATTGCTTAAGTACACAAGCAAGTATTTTTTTTCAGTATGGTTATCATAGTTGCCAATAAAAGCAATAAACGCTGTGCTTTAGTAAGTTTACCTCTAAAAGGATATTTAGGCATTTTCTAACCAACGACTTAGATTTAAGTCCAAAAAAATTGTTTAGTGTTAGTAATTTATGCACAACTGACAGCCTTCATAAGACGGGCATTACTATGTCCATTGGGCCACTACAAACCCAGAAAAATACTTAATAAACACTGTTACAATTGTAATCGTGATAAATAAGTGCTAGCCAGAAGTCTTCCAGAAGCTGCCGAAATGTTTTTATAAAGACTCAATAAGGCCGCCAATACCATTATCTACAGTTTGTAGTTATATTGGCTACAGTCAATTTATTCTATACGCTAATCTCTTCTAACCCCAGTTTTTCGAAAACGACCTTCAAACGCATCTTCGCACTAAACTTTTATAGAAGATTTGCCACCCTAGGGCTTTCACAAACACCCACTGCGATTGACTTCGACTAATAATTCAAGCATAAATTCTTATATAATAACGCTCCTTATTGACGCATTTTTTGTTACTCTTTAATTATATTTGACTAAGCTTTTTCTAGAATCTACAACAAATGCATAATACTGACCAGAACGTAGCATAAGGAAATTTTCCTCGTAAGAACAAAACTAACAAATTCGAAGCGACCGGCAACAGCTTCAGTATACGATTTGAGGACCTTGCATGCTGTAGCACGAATACGCTTGAACCTTCAATGTAATGCTTACTATTTTCTATATATGATCCGAAATCAATTCTGCCAGCGACGAAAATAAACAAATCGATCCAAGATGAATAGTGATATAACACTGGAACAAGACATCACAGAGCTTCTCGAAGATCAAATTAAACCGTCCATTTAATAACATTCGATAAGTCAAAACCAAGGCTACCCCAGTCAATACCCCCTCCCAATATGTTCACTATCCTATGTACGCTTCAGTGGTTGATAAAAAATTGTTTAGAACGAAATAATACGTTTTGCTTTGCATCCGAAGATGCTCATTGCCGTCGACTTTAATCGCTCATTTACCTGAAGAATGCCTAAATGCAGAACAACAATCCGAAATGGCTAGATCAACCGATAATGCACTCTTAGATAATTGAAATATGATCCCACAGAGTGTGGCGGGACTTTTGAAAATTACTACCCGCGACATTTTATAACAATTTATTATATAATCGATAAATTCTCAATAGTCTAATAGAACTAATCTAAAATGTCAAAACCGGAAGCCTAATAAAGGCGGATAGCTTTTTCAATCACCAGCACTTGAGCTGCTAGAAGTACAGAACGTGAGGATAAGTTGTATGTACGCGATTACGTGTGAAAAATCTTCCACCAATCTCAGTTTACCTTACACCATGCTATTCATAAAACTGCCTCTGAATTTTATAATTATATTAGAAAAAGGCAAAGTCAAAGAAACTAACTGAGATCAGGAAAAGGCTCTTATATCTTTTGGCATTTATACTGGAAAAAACTCAGTAATTTGCAAATAGGGCAGTTTGCTAAGAGAGGCTAAATGGAAACAGTAGTGAGAAATTATTTATTTTACCCTTAGTTTAAATAAGAACGTGGAGGCGGGGGGGGGGGGGGGATTGGTTTTCATCCTCCCGCCCATTCCTCGCCTTACCCTCGTAGTGGCGTCATAGGTAGCTAGATCTGAGAAACACGTAGTCGTTTGGATTCGAATCTGTGGTGTGATGGAATGGCTAACGGCGACGGCAAACGTAAAAGTCGAAACATTTCATCTGTGCTCGCCTAAATTTAAGTTAACGCTTGTTCTTAAAATACCTCTGGAAGTTTAAGCGACGCCTACGTTAAACTTCACAAGTGGTTAATGCATCAAACCGCAGACATTTTTTTCGTGGAGAAGGCGAACTTAAATTCGTCCGTTTTTAATCCCGAGAACGTGTAATATTTCCTCAAGCGATAACGTGTATTAAACTTTAGCAGTGCTTTCAACAACAACTCCTTGTAAGTTTAAAACCTTTGATCCTTAAAAACCTTTTTTGATCTATAATTATAATTTGCTTCGTTGAAAGAGTGTTCGCTTGAAGAATGGCCGAAACTCCGTCTGCTTTGATTCTCCGTCTCCGTTTGCTTCTTCACAAATTGCCGACCATATTACACTTCGTCGTTTAGAGAATTGTTCATTGACTTTGTATTTTCAATATTTTTACTACATTGGGTAAAACGACCTTTTGGAACACCATTGAAGCTGGGTAAGTCACGTTGAAGATTCAAGATCAAGAAGTTGCTCATCTTGTTAATATTTATAGTTAATGATAGAAGCTCAAAAAATTTTTGGTTTTCACGTATTTTGGCGCGTACTCTTTCTAGGTATCTGCTGTTATAAAAACAGTCTAACAACTGCTATCATCATATAATAATTTATAGGAGAACATAGAAGGAAAGCGTGTTATAAGTTGAATCAATAAGAAAATCCCTCGTCGTCGCAATCCTAATGCAATAGAGTCCTCTATTTCTTCATCGTCATCGTGGTCTTTCATCGTCAAGCATTAAGATGCCACCGATGTTATAACGAATAATTGGAAATTCGCTCTCATAGATGAACGGGGACTATGGGGTTATATAATTTTGGGTCATATCTATGTCATACAACAGCACATATTGTCATCAGGCACGCAGCTGTGCTGAGTTGTGAATGCTAGAATTCAGAAACGATCCTCAGACTTCTAATACCAGGTCCGATCAAGCTACAAAATACCCTAATATGAAACACCATCTAATCAATCCGACTCGAATAAAAAGGCCTGATAACTTACAAACACGAACAGAGTATACCATTTGTGTTATTATTATTGTTCACCGTTAATTTCTGAGTTAATATTGCAATGTACATGCAGTTGTTAACTCTATGATTATTCAGTGGACCAACAAACGTTGGTCTTTTATTCCTTCCTTGTGTTTGTAAAAATCTAGAGTTTCCAGATCAGACGATCTGAACTACCACTTTATATTGTTTCTCTTCCAGTTTATCTAATTGACCTGGCAAATTAATTGATACTTCTCTCATGTCAGGGTATAAGTGCAATATCCTTAAGAAGACTCAAACGAAGTTAGCAAATGAGCGAGCTTCATAAAAATGCCATTTTGCGCCCAGCAGCAGCAGCAGCTTATTGAAAGATAACTTACCTCAGGACAGGAATATTAAGGTCCGTGTTTATTTTTAGGCTCGCAGGTCTCTAAAAAAAAAACAATATTCTATCTCTTCTCACGAAAGTGTCCTGATGCTTTGACCCAGCACAACAACGACTATTTTCTGTTACCGTCCTATAAATTTCAATAAAATCAAAATAACAAAATCCGAGTCTAAGAAATCAAACCTTTTCACTTTGCTAATTAGTTTAATTAGCTGTTATATATAGATATTCTAGGTAATCCAACATAACTGTGTAATAGAGCAACCTATTTACGGAAATATGTTTACTTTTTTTTATATATACTGAGCATATATTATCATCAGAATTAAAATGCTTGGTTAACGAAGGTTGATGAAGATATTTAACCGAGATTTGTTCAACAAACACGGAGGCACCAACCTGTACACAGAATTACTCTTACGGCCTTTGATTTCCGCCACGTCTACCTTTTCATTACGAGAAAGTGTGTCATACGGAACGTAGGTAAATAGACCTGCCAGTCTAAAAATAAACACGGACCTTAATATTCCTGTCCTGAGGTAAGTTATCTTTCAATAAGCTGCTGCTGCTGCTGGGCGCAAAATGGCATTCTTATGAAGCTCGCTCATTCGCTAACTTCGTCTGAATCTTCTCGAAGATATTGCACTTATACCCTGACATAAGAAAAGTGTCAATTAATTTGCCAGGTCAATTAGATGAACTGGAAGAGAAACAATATCAGATCGTCTTATCTGGAAACATAATGAAAACTCTAGACTTCTACAAACGCAAGGGAGGAATAAAAGACTATACAAATGATACTGCATTTGCCTCCTTTTCATTTAGTCCTAGGTTGATGTTAGCCGGTAGCGTTTAGTGAAGATCAAGTGATCGCCTATGATGTACGCTTCGTCAGCCGACAGCAACGAAGATGAAGTCAGACAATCCAACTGAAGTGTAGTATAGCTGAAGACATGTACTATAAAGTTTTCACTAGATGAATGCTGTGAAATGTTGCTGGATAGACTCTCGATGTGCAGACCAACATGTGAGAAATAGATAGGGAAATTTGGCGTGTGCCATTCTCTGTGTGAGATAAGTCAGAGATGCATCTGTGTAAGCTCGACTTGATGTGATAAGCAGCACTTTCTAATTTTCCTCATGATGACACAGGTACAATGAATTATTTTACAGCCATCAACTGCCATTATGGTCATGTTATATCGTTGACATCGGCGGTGGCCGCGGACAACGAAGAGGAAATAGAATTCGGATAAATCAATGTGCGCGCTCTTTAGAATCAGTCTCTTTAAATACTTAGAATTCGATGGATAACTACTATTGAAATCACCAGTTAATTAAAAGATCAATCTAATAATTACCATTAAAATTCTTCTCACTCTTCTGTTCTAATTTGGTTAAAGTGAATTGCTAAAATGTTCTTGCAATAATTATACTTAATAATTAAGTTGATCATTAGTTTACCTTTGATGGACAGCTAAACTGGCGCACGGACACGACAGAGAAATTAAGTTTTTGTACTGCAATGGCCAGTCCACCGATCCCATGCGAGCGTCTTGCAAGAGGTCGTTGTTATATGCAAGATTATATCGTTTATTTTTGCTATTGCTTCGGTCCGCACCTATGCCCCTATTCGTCCTGCCCCTGACACCGAGTCGTCATTCTATTGCTTGTACTATTCTTACCTGATTAATGCAGGCCTCTATAATGTTTGGCGGGAAGGCATTTCTAGAACGAGAAAAAGGCAAAGAAGAAGCACAGAAACACAGAACAGACAAATTCGAATAAGACGTCAGCTCAAAAACGACAAACATTACCATTATTATCATCGTCGCCGTTATCGTCATTGGTTGCCACGAACAAGATCGTTCAGGCAGCACCCTAATAAATACCGCTATTAATTACGACGATGATGATTTGGCGTCATTTCGCCAGCCCACCACCGTGGCCTTATTCAGGCCAAAGATAAGGATATCTGATAGTTAGAGCTAGCACTTTACAAGCTGAGTGCTAGCAACCACGTGCTGAGTGAACTAGCAAGCTAATCGCAACCGTGCAGGTGATTTTTTCGTGACTGATGAAGAAACAGCCTGAAATGAACGGGCAGCATTGTTTCAGGCTTTGTACCATAGGTACTCGGTGCCTCTGCATACGAATCGTCCGTACTCGGCGTGCCACAAAGTTCAACGCTCAACCGAGAATGCTACTTTGGTAAAAAGGTTTCAAGATGGCTTCTTAGACCGATTCTAGTTTCGAATGGCTCGCCTGAAGCTTTTCTAATGACGCCTCTACCTATTCGCTCACGAAAGCCACTGTAGGTTTAGGTCGAGGTGTAAAGCTCGGAAGCTCTTGGCATCCTAGCCAACTTGGACAATCGAGCTTTTCTTATCTAAAACATCTCGTAGGGATATCTCAGTAATCATTCACCTCAAGTCGAATCATAGCTACGGTGCAATTTAGTCGCTGTATACGAGTTAGTTAAGAAACAAAAGACGCAGCGTTTATGAAAATAGCAAATGCAATAACATATTGCTTGCTATGGGACCGTGAAAGCAGTAGCTAGATGGCCGTCGGCAGCTATATGCATTGCTTAGAAAACTATATAATAACAATTTTGTAATGATTACTAGTGTTTTTCTCGCATGATAAGTGCGATCGTGATAGCTATTGTTACCAAAATTGCTAAATCTAGTGTTTTGTTTTACCTAAATTAAGCCGATAACGTTTTTATGAACGCTGCGCAGATGCCCCTATGACGGGCTGATACGCGCATTACGACGGGGACCAATTCTCAATGCATACCTTTAGCATCTGCAGCAGAATGAAAAATAATACATTTCACGTAATCTTTCGGAACTTACATATTGATTATATATGAGCAGAAACTGAAGCTTCAGTTACGTGAACTGCGTACACATTTTTTCGAGGCATTCTGTACAGTTCAAGCGTGACTGAACGGCAAGCGGCAATTAAGAACTTAACTTAAGGTATTTTAAAAATCACTGAGTCTCAGCTAAGAATCGTAATTGAATTTTTGTGACCTCTGGGGCCCTCCATCAACCTCCCCATCAAATGAAAAAGTCATACAATATAATTTGAGCAAACGTGGACAATAACACAGACGGGATCTTCACGGATGTCCATCACTGCTTTTGCACATAGGATAATAAGAGGGAAAGCAAACAGCAAGATTGTCGACTACCGTAACTCTTACCGTGAATCGCATCGGCGTGAGCATCCGATTCACAGAATTACCTGGCCAACAGTATCGTATTATAGTGACAATAACAACCGTAATCATAAATAAAATAGCGAATACAGGTGATGGCGGGTAAAAATTTTGCCTTACTGTTAACAGCAGCCTTTGCCAGCATGCGCCTCTAAAAAACAATACCGATCTTGTTTATTATGAGTACTATTTTTTGTGTGCACGTCATCTATGTAATGTTTTCTATAGTTGAAACGTTTACTGAGAGACCGGTAACTTTTGCCAGTGTCGTACGCAATTGTGAACAGAGACAAAAAGTTAGTTTAATAAACTCTGAATGAACAAAAACTCGACCAGCCGGTGAAGAGCTATACGTTTCGACATTGGAAAGCACAGGGGGTTCGGAATGAACTGTGACTGAGTGATTAAGGCACAGAAGAGAGTTTACATCAACGAACTACAAATGATCGATCTGTAGCTTTGACTAATGCTGGCAGTTTTTATACCGTTCCCGACAGCGAAGTTTTTGTCTATGGAATAGCTAGTCTGTTAACGCTAACATTGGTCTTATGAGCCCGCAGACGTGAGACTGAGCTCAAGATGCAACTGCGAAAAAATCTGGCTCAGCCATCCGATGCAATGCGGAACTGATAAAGATTAACGCCTTACATAATCTGGCATTATCGATCTTAAAATCTCACATACGTAGTGATATGAGCACATGTCGCATATCGGCTCCACATCACTTTGGCCATTACATAGGCATGGCAAAAATCATTTCAAACGCGTCACTCAGACCGTTATCATGCGTTTTTTTTTACAGTTTTTTTTCTTTTGCATTCTTTAACTGACATTACAAGTATAAATTACTATTGTATTATTATTACATATAGAAGGAATGGAAGCTTTCTAATGGTCTGACTGCAAATCACGACTGCTCCTCCCCCGGTTTTGTTTTTGTAGGGCAGCCACGGCTAAAGTCTCATTACCTCATGCTTCACAATCTGACGCATGGCCGTTGAGTAATTCTGCGCTTTTCTAGATCGGCTGCGGGATCGTTCGAAAAGTTATACTTGTCTCGTTGGGTCATCCATGAAGTTCATTTACGTTCCTGCAAGGCACGACCTGCGTCTTGAGGCAGAAAACGTGTCAATTATTCGCAAACGGATCAATTATCCGCGTAACTCAACAAAGACACATGTTTCGCCTAAAACTCGTCATCTGGGTTAAAACCTGTATTTTGACCTTCGAATTATATATTTGTAAAACACATTACCGTTACTGAAATTAAAATTTGTGCCAGCTAGAATTGTACGACGAATTCGGTCAATCTGACGGAACGTAAGTTTCTGCACCGGTATTTTAGTCTAGTTAAGAGATATTCTTAAACTAGTCTTAAATGGCATCTTTATATCCGCTATATGAAACAAACATTATCCACACAAATTATGCAGCGGCTTAAGGTAACGATATCTGGCCCATCAAATTCAGTCCGCCGGGCAAATCAGCAATAGTTTTATCTATTATATTTAGACCTGTATTTTTTTTAGCATTAAAATATATTGTCTTATAAGCACCTGCGTGTTCCGATCGTCGCATGATGGATCACGAACGAATGATCCCAATGTTTCGGGCGACTGTCTTGACACAAGTCACACATGTTGTTTGTGGAGAGGAAACACGCGATGCCCTGGGCGTGGGTTACGGATAGGGTCGAAACAGCTATTGAGAGACACTGATCTCGTGTTGAGTTTGTGCGACTTTCCTTCCACTCGCTTGGGAGAGTGTTACGATATACCGGAAGGCGTCTCTATTGCTAATGAGACATCGCCTCTGTTTTACTGACAAAAAGTGCTCAGTCTAGCACTCAGCTCGAGGCAGAAATACTAGCTTCATTCAAAAGGTACGATTAGACATCACTTTGTATATACATAGGCGAATTGGCGTACCCATACATACATCGATAATGTTATGTTATTTGTTTGTCACAATGATACCATGCAAAGACGGGCTTTTGCCTGGCAAAGCCTTGTTCCTATGTAGATATTGTGTAACGGCTTAGTAAACGTTGTCTGATCGTTCCTATTTCAATTCAAAAAAACTTAATGAGTGTCGTTGTCGCCTTTTTGAAAGGATGACTGTCCAGACGTTAGTCAGGACGTAACAGCATTATGATCGATCTGTTTTAGATGGATGTAGAAGTAGGATCATAAGTGCGCGATGAACAATTGCGCTGTATCAGTGTTTATGACACACCCTAATTTTGAATTGCCGCATAATTCTGTTGCAAAGATAATGCGTATCAACTAATATAGAAGAAATATACCGCATATGTGACGCGACAAAATTATTCAGCACAGTTGCAGCTTCATATACTCACGTGTGCGGGTGGGGCATCTGCAACACAGCTACCTCTGTATGGCGGCAACGCCCCCGAACTTGTTTGTCATTATGCGCCTGCGTCTGAGCGTGCGCGTTACGTTTTTCAGTGCGGTTTCGACAGAAAAATTCATGGAATATGCATGCTCATCACTTTATGCAAGGCTCAGACAAAACGCTATATCAACTGGCACATTCTATGAGCGGTTACTTGAAACTTTCAGGTTCCTACATAGATATGTAACGCCAAATGCTATCCTGCTGTGGTCGTCGGAATTGATTTATATATTCATGAAGGCCAGCAACGCCTCATCTATTTATCTGTTCTGCAAATAGTGTAATACACAGAAAAAATATTTCGGGTGCCGTCTGAATCCTGCTGTTACAGAAGCACAACTCTTACACTTAATATTTAAAAGGCAGCTTACGCATTATCCAATTAATTATCTTGTTTATCTTATTATTGTATATGAAGCGCTATAAATCGTACTTTCACCTTTTTGCTTACGGTGCCTTCATAGATAGTAATGCTGACTGTGGTTCAGGACGTGAGCCTAACTGTTCGTCTCGTATGTTTTGTAGCATCAGGCTTTAAAACGTCGCAGCACCTCAAAGAAAACGCGGGCTGTTCTAGTGTAACAGCAGCGCCGAAGGGTTCGCTATTCGTAGCTGTATAGATACAAGGGGAAGATACAGGCTCGAAACAGGATATAACGCATCTGCGTCAAATATAAGCGGATTTTCTGAGGCGTTTACTCTGAATAGTGGCTAAGATTGGCTAGATGTTGCCCACTTAACTGGTTCCCAAATATCACGAGTTAATATAGCTTTGTTACAATGTTCCTGCCAAACTTGTAGAAGTTTACTAGCACAATGCACATCGTATTCAATATTCATCGATACGAAGCTTCTGCGCATAGACTTTGTTTGCATCATCATAAATAACTCTCATATAACGTAAAAATACTAACTATATTTAATAAATGGTACGGACGTTAAGCGTTGCTTCAGATGGCTTGCCCCTCTCAGCAAACAACGCGGTATATCTAAGCTCGGTTTTGAAAGCAGACCATTGCCTCCCTAACTTTTTGTAGGCAAACATGCTACCACAGCACCATGACGAAAACGAACTTGTTTTCGAAGTTTGTTTTCGTGCCATGCAAAAATGTTTACTTAAATCCGGCAAACATTACTCGAAGACGTGCAATCTTCCATCGTGGAATAACGCATGTCAGACATATTCGTCAGGATTCCAGCGTGAAGTTGAATCGTTATTTTTATTATAGATGATCTCTTACCGGCATGAATTAAGTCAAACGGGAACCGCACGCGGCGGTCGTCACTCACTTGTAGTTTCCTCAGCGTTGGCTCGTGAACTCGAAAGGGATATTGAGGATCATCGCAGGCAAGTTTACCTCGAGCGTTCTGGTACTACCGCCCCGAAAAGGGTATGGCACCCCGCGCTGTACAAGACCCAAGACGTGGTGAATATTGTTTGCTATTCAGTCACTGTGTTTAAGGCGACCATTTCAAAAGCATTCAAGTTGCGCTACGCTAATTTAGTAGCTGATATAGAGCTAGGAAACTGCGGCAAAATCCACGATCCTCGTTAAACTATTGATAAAGCGAAACTAGTTAATAACATTTCAGATACAAGTGTATTTTATCTGATTTTTATAAGTATACTATGAACGATTGGAAAATATGCTGATAAGCACAAATAAAATTTATTATTATTATTATTAAATAGTTTTCGATTAATGTGCACCTTTGATTAATGTAAATTGGACATTATATATTTCTAATTATTGACCAAAATTGCAGATCCTGAATTTTGTACACTCTCCCCTAAAATCTGTTGAATTATTTATGCGTGAACTTGACCAATACAGGCCAGCTAAGAAGGTAAGATTGCCGGGTATCTAAAAAAATAATGATGAAAGTTACAGAAATTATTATTAATAAAACACTATTAACACATATAAATGTATATTGATAAAGCTATTTAAAAGATAATACTGCAAACACAAGTGTTTACTCAGTCATGGTCACCAGGTGCAGGCTGATGCGCTAATAAAAAAACAAATAGGTAAGAAAATGTGCGTCAAACGTTATGATTTACATTTCGTTCTTCCTAGGTTCTCCTAAAAATTTGCCTAGATTTAAGGTTACGCTGGGCAAACCTTTTCAAGAAGAACTAATTCGTGGTCTTCTGTTCAGAGTCGACCATTTGGATGCTCTACAGAAGATATTTCCCCTTTTCTAACCAAGGCAACTCTACGCATATCTCTTTAGACACATGTGTGTGCATTTACGCGACAAAAGGGGCACCTTGTCGTAGGTGAACTATTGCAGTACCATCGTGGCATGCAAGTCTTTTTGTATGATAAAAAAAGGCTTTACCGAGGGCATCAACTAATGAGCTAACAACGAGAATTTCAAGGACAATAAGCTGCAATGCCTATATCCGACTCGAAACACTTTCATCTCCTCATTCGAAAGGTCGCTCGAATAGGCCTCGTTAACTGGCGTCAGTCTACTTTTAGCGAGAAGACCTACTATTGGCTCTTCTTTCCTATATTAGAACACACACTTGATTCGCCTATATTCAGACCTGAACTGTCAAACTGTTTTGTTTGGTTTTCCGTACAAAAACCACAATTCGATATATTTATTGCCGTTTATACATCTCAATGATATATTGCAATCACTCGAACTTAGCTATCTATTACTATTTTCTAAACAATCTGCGAAGTGGTATGTTTGGAAATCGCTGGCAAAGTTGGTTTTCGTTCGGCACTGATTTTCCGCACGAATACCACAATAAATGTTCCATTGAGGCCAATTACGTTGCGTCTCAAAGGATTGATCATCTTCCGCATAGGGCAATCCACGCATGTGGCCTCAAAAGTTCGAGTTGTCTGAACTTGACCTCTTGCTACAAGTTCAAGGTTTGAGTTCTTTTCAGTCGAAGTTTAGTGTCAGATAAAGTAGATGCAGATTTAGTGTGGATAGGATCTTGAAGCAACCAAAAACCTTGTACGGACTATGTGCCGGCCGACATTGCAAAGGTACTTTTAATAATATTCTTTTAATATATTTAATAATATACCACCATCAAGATTATCCTCATGTACGGATACTTTCGTGCATCGAAACATGTGCTTACCAAAGATAGTTTTGATATGTGCAAACTGTGAAATATGAAATCTGTCTAGCCATAGACAGACTATTCCTGTGATTTTGTGAAGTACAGCTTTTAGTTACTATGACTTTTAGAGGAGCTAGCGAATCTAATATACTCAATATATCAACATTTTATCTGGTGTATCATATCAACAGAGGCTTCCAAAACTAATTTCCAGTCATTTAGCGAAGATACACATAGCTTCCGTTTAACATCTGACCCCAATTTGAAAGTATACTGAACGATCGTAAGCGAACCTTGAAGTATATAAATCGAAAGCATATTCAAATCGAGCACGCTCGTAGGTGACGCCCATAAAAGCACTATTATATAATATAATACACGACCATAGTAATTCCGGAATAATCAGTTTTTAGCCACATATTTAACTGAGACGACCCATTTCTCTAGGTTTCCATTGGTCCAACTCAATTCCAGTCGGTCAAAAATGTTGATGGCAATTTCGTTCATTTATACACCTTACTGCCAGATACAGATGACAATGTTATATCTCTTAAGAGTACACGATACAATCTATTATTGTTTTTATTATTATTAATTATTGTCAAGATATTGTTTTCTCGCGTAGTACACAGCCAGGGAGATTTGAAGCTATCAGGCCTTTTAGAGGAACAAAACCATCCCATTATTACGCTGAATGCACTGGCTATTACCAACGATTGAATATTGACTCGAATCGCAATCTATTCTTGCAGAGACGCTCCATGACGGCCGGTATTGCCCAGCAACTCAAGTTCCTCTTCAAAACCCGCTATTAAGGTAGAGGATATTTTCAATAAAATATAACAAATGTAAATCGTGTTCTTTTTATAAAACACAAAAAAGAGGTAAACACGTTCTGAACAAACGCTCATTTTACAAGGTGCAGTCGACTATGACCGCGTTTTGCATTTTCCTATTTGACAGAAATCGTTGATTTTGTTGAACATCATTTTGACATCACGACTTACTGCTTATGCAACTAAAGTTACTAAGGTAACGTATTTAGCTCACTACGTAATTGAATTTATATTGTATTTTTTGCAAGTCGTACTAACGTACAATTAACAACAATCCACCTTTAGACTTTAGGCTGCAGGCAAGAAAGTTCTTACTTTTTGGACTCACCGTAACGTCCGATTTTAGTGGACACTAACGTACAATGAATAAAACAATAGTTATATTAAACATAAAAAGTACGTCAAGCTGTAAGCTCGCGCTACCTATGTAACCACGCATACAAGAACTTATGGATCCTAGCGTTGTTTGCCAGCTGTACTACCGACCAACTCAGGCAGCAGTTCAGAGGGCATCAGCCGTTTCCGTGGCGCCTCTTTCTTGCTTGTAGGTTAGTCGCATGTACCTTTAACAGGATATTTCCTATCTTTTGGCACCTATGGACCGGTCAACTCTGGCGAATAACCGACTATCATATCATCCGAAATCTTTTTTTAGGAAGCTTAGATAGCATAAGAAATAATTGGCTATGGACTAAACTTCATCTGTCTCTTAACTTGATAATGGTATGGACAAACGAAACCTCGAAACGTACTTTCTGCACTCCATAGACATCGCTAAATCGGCCCCGTACGAGAAATGCTTCTATAAGTTCATAGGAAGCTGATGTTTACTAAAACTAGTTCACAAGCACGTTTTCGTACAGCTAAATTAGAATTGACTTGCAAACAGAAGCCACTGCTAACGCTTTCCATAACGCAGCAATACAGGAGCCTAATCCCATACGCATCTGAGCGAAACCCTCAGTATCTGGAAGCGCCCATTGCGTATAACTACGTGCATAGGGAACAGTGTATAAATAAATCATTCAGATAAGTGTTCTGATTAAAGCCAATATGATCTTAAAAGATCAATGTTCGAGCGCCAACGGCCCAGCTATATGCTCGTAAGGAGCTCATTAAGACCTCAGTGGACCCGCTATCCTAATCACGGATCAGATTCACCCATCCCGAGCAGTAGCAGGTTTGGATACGGACAACCACATTTGTCTCCACGAGTGGCGCAGACATACGTGACAGCTGGTTTTGGCTAGACAATTGTACGAGATAAATTTTGAACTTTAAATGAGTATTGGGTAATGTTCCATTTATTTGTGTTTACTAGAATTCATCGGCAGTGCGCCAATGTTTCGGTACGGAAAAGAAAGCGTATTATAATTTTTAACTGTTTGTTATCATGTACTAGACAGATATTATGTTGATGCACTATATTGGTAAGGAGAGATGGTAGTAATTACGGATGGACTAAGGTAGTAAGATAAATAAAATGTGTTTCTGGCAGTTTTCTTCTACTCAAATATTCGTACACAATTTTAGTTACACTTGGTGACCTAACCGAAGTGTCGTAGGAAATTCCTGAGTAATAACTTCTTGCCACGAAGTTACACCGACACGCTTCCATATTGAGCTAGCGATTATGCTTACTCAATTCGATAAGTACTGAGTAAATAGGTCTGTCCTTTACCTTATATGATGAATTCCTTACTTTCTATGATGGCCGAGTTGGCTTTGCTGGTCGGAACTTCACGAAGTGTCCACAAATATCGCAATTCTATTAACCGAAATTTGGCGGTTTTGGTAATTACCTTGTGTACGATTCTCACTTTCCTTTCGTGTGTGGGCACCGTTCAGCGGAACAGCAAGTATTTTAAATTCACGGAAAAATAAATCTAAAATAATATGCAGTAAATCATCTCTTAGAGAGGTAAGTGTTGTCTAAAATCGTATGGCGTCACCTGAGATAATGTTTTTCTTTTCGTCTTCTAAAATACACTTTATTTAAATCCTCATTTTCGTGATAAAGAATGAGAAACACTAGTAGAAAAAGCTACTCTCACGTGCCTCTACTCTGACGCAATTATGAAAGCGGTTAGTCTTCAGTAAGGCTAAGACATCTTGCAATGCCTCTGTGCGAACAATATAATTGTCGTCCTACTTTGAAACGTGTTTAGTTCCATCGTCTCCACTGAAACGTCCTCCGAGATAAATAAGGTCAGTTTCCAATGCTTACGCTACGTTCCTTCCTACCTTACTTTTGTAAATAAAAATCTATTGACAATATACTTGGCCAAGTCTATTAGCTTAAGGCAAATTGCGCATCATATTTTGAAAAGCTTGAATAGCAGTTATGTGTGTCTTTATGTATACAAAAAATACACCATTATACATAAATGTACATTTAAATAAACCCTTCCCTTACAAGTTTTGTAAGTCCATATTGACTTCACGGGTAAAATTCTGAAAGCATATTTCTCTTGATAACAGCCAAAAAACCGTTTCGAGGTGGAAAACCCTTGCGACAGAATCAAACGCAGAAGATGCACTCCTGAAATGATACCTCTCAGAGATATTGACGTGATGGTTTATGACCTACTACAAGACCATTCTTAATCTTTTCTGGAGCAAATATCGGTATTGAACTTCTGCGATAATATGTCGCGGGTAACTGTTAGCTGTTAATAGATATAACTACTACGAGATATGAAATACAATATGGAAACGTGATTGTCGCACGTATAACCGTATTTGACAATTGAAACGCTACCTAAATAGGTTGTACTCGACACAATATACGTGTTGTGAGACGAGATTTGGTGCGGGCAAACTCGGGAGCTGTATCAACTAAAACAACATTGTTAAATGACGGATGTAATTCAAGCGCTGCTCAGGGAAGTTAAGGCCTCGTCTGCAATTTGTTGACGCTCATTAGCACAATACGTCCATGGTACGCTTCGACCATTTACAGAAAGCCGAGGCACATTTAAGGCGTAAGAAGACAGAGTTAGTGATAATTACGTAACGGTTCATTTTCTACAGAGGTTTCTAATAGCATATACGTCTTAACTAAAGTTACAAGCATCCACTCTGACAAACCAACCTAAAACAAGGGCAGTGCCTCTAACTATTTTACATGGCATAATAATTATACTAATATTATTGGTATATTTGAACAAGCGGTTCTACAAAAGCAACCCCTACCTGATGAGGTCCATGAGTGTGTCGGCTGTCGTGACAAGACGAGCGCTGGTTTTCGAAGCCTCAATATCGGTATCACCCGCTCCTGGCTGGATCGTGATAACCAGCACGATACCCAGAATAATAGCTATCAACGTCGTGCTGAAGTAATACGTAACGGCGCGAAAGCCAATTTTGCCCGAAAGAGTGGCATCTAGTCCGCCTACGGCGGCGATCATTGACGTTGTGATAAGGGGAAGGATGAGGCCGCGAAGCATCCGAAGAAAAATCTCTCCAGGGAAGTTGATGTACATAACTTCTCGTTTCGACCACGGACCTCCGTAACGGCGAAAGAAACACCCAAAAATGATGCCTAGTACGACGCCTATGACGACGAAGAAAAATCAGAAGACGGTTAGCAACTAAACTCTAGTAAAATCGTAGAAAAAAAAACTAGTAAAATATCGAACTATTCGATACAAATGGTTTAGATTTTATCAAGTAAGCTTTACTGATCTGGATTGCGTGGCCTATCTTTGATACGATCAAACTTACTGTAACATCAATGATAAGAATGAATGGTTTGCTTATGTAAGTGTCACTAATCTTGTTCGATGAACTGTTGTCCAGCTAAGAAGCAAAAATCATTCAAAAGAAACTATGGAAAATACTCAATCAAAGATTAGCCTTTCTCCCTGATTCGGAACACGCGGCCGCTTTTTCTCAGATAGCTTTAAATATAAAATGAAGCAAGCTGTTATTTCATGAATGGTATTGAAAGAACTATCATATACAACTGGTCCAAGTCAGGACCGTTTCACTGTGGCCATTTGGCTTTATCTGCTGGCGTAGTGAACTTTTAAAGCCTGGAGCCCGGACCCGATCAGACCTAACTTAAACTGGATTTAAAGTCACATCGTTTTCACTCTCGCAATTCAAAAGGGTTGAAAATTAATTGTCTACGACATCATGTCTACCTTTGAGATTGTTTTAATCTCGAAACCTCAATGCTCATCCCAGTAGCACGAGATGCATGGGTTCTTGGCAATAATTCCAATAAATTGAAGCTATTTTCCGCTGCAATATTTCATATCGCGGGGTATTTTGCTTTTTCTGTTTTTTTTTTTTTACAAACATTGCTTTTTTTCATAATTACAGATATGTACTCAAGAAGGCTTTGTTATTAAAAAATGGAACGACAGCTAATGCAATATATAGGAAGATGTTTTTTAACTTATATTAGTTCTTAAATTAGCTAGTGATCTCACTACCTGTATCTCTGTAAACTGGGTCTAGATGTTTTGCTACATGGCAGTCGTTTTCATTTCTTCACATGGTCCAATAACGCCTAAGTTCAACCTTTCAATCACATCAATATGTCAGCTCATCATCTATGGATTTACTGCGTATACATCGAATTAATTATCTTCCGCAGATGAAAACGGTGGCTGGTGTAATCCTCGTCAGCACATTGGTAAAACGACGTTGAAACACTTTCTTGGAAGCGAATTCACAAAAAATACGTCCAAGTAGAAAATGATCAAAATCACTAGAAATTATGGCCTCCATATCATTGGTCCACATAGCCGCACAAGGTGGACTTCGATGAGCAAAAGCGGGTGTAGATGGATCATTGATTGTTTTCTGCGAAGTTCAACATGTCCTTTCGACCAGTCGCTGCCATTATGGCTAGAGAAAATCCTATTTCATAATAACTTACTACCAATCTAGAAAAGCTAAAAGTGACAATTCTTCTGCCATACATTCACATCAGATTTGTTGCGTAATGTAAAACTTTATTTCTAAAAATCCAATCTGTTGGCTCGTCTATAGTTGAATTGCATTTTCCTCAAGAACATAGAGGAACTAGTGACAATGTACGTAGCGTTCTTCAAAGCCAACCTTATTGAACTCCGTACAACTAGCATGGTTATCCAACATGATTTTTTTTATATTGATAATTTAGATTTGTTATTGTAGCATTCGCAATTAGACATAATGTGTAAATTAGAATTAAAAATGTGGTGCATGCATTGTCGGCGTTACTATTACTCTCATATGTGCGCTACTCCATCATATCCTCAAGAACAAATCGCATATAGCGTGACGAGTACGAAGATCCGATATGTCTTAAAGAAGATCGAAGTTTGATAGCATTCATACGTAAAAGTAACACTTCCTGGGTGGATAAGGAACAGTGCAATCTATATAGTTACGCGCCCATACATTCCAGCTGTTAGCTACTTGTTCGTCTCTAGCCAAACCGACCTGGTCTGCTCAAGCATTTCCGGTTATTATAAATAGATCCTGCACTATATAGTAGCCGTTGGTAAATATAATCAATTTTGGTTTTATGCAAGCTGATCCTGATTTAAACAATTCGAATTCATCAGCTTCACATCTTTTCGGACCACAACGGACCGCTCCCCACTCGATATAAACAGTGCAATAAGGCCTTTAAATTGGCGTAACTACCTATGCCAAACCAGCTCGCCTCGTTTCACCTATTTTATATCTAAGGCTCTTTCAGTGTATGGCTATATATGTAATAAATTTAAAGGCTCTAAATGGATGCTCATGTTCGTGTTCAATGACGCAGTCGACATAAAAGCTCGTTGCCTCGATTACTTGGCCTGTGAGTTGTTCTGGAGTCGATGATGGACCTAACCGGCAGCTTAGGTGCATTTACATAAACTCACGCAATTTCGAAAATGTGCGCATCCAATTGTGACGGTATTTTATTTACAAATATAGACACTTACGGGCAAAACCGAAACTTATAATGAGCCAAAAACTCGGAGGGAAACTAAACTCGAAATTGAGGTGTATCCTTTCTCGCAAATGACCACAAAACGTGTACCGTAGATTTTCATATAGGTGCCAATCGTCAACTAAAGATTATTTGCTTATTTGAGAAAATATATGCTTTAAAAGTGTATTGAAATGTTTAAGTTTGGAGCTTTCAGGGAATGTAGCGTGTTTGTTAGGAACAAAGCAACAAGGTTCCAATGTAGTATAAGATAATCGCAGGAAACCTGCCAAACGACTTTTCTCAGCTTAACTGCTCGCGAGCGTCGGGCCTGACCCCAATGCTAGCTGAGCGTAAGAAGAAAGAAATTACACTTATATTTTTGAGACTGCTTCTAGTTCTCTAAGCTAACGATGCCTATTACGTGATACGATAACCTTCAATGACAACCATATCTCTGAAGTGAAGGCCATAAGGGATAAAAAAGAGAGCGTCTGACCTAAAACCGGGCTAAGCCTTCTAAAGAAACCGCCTTTAAACAATCTATTTTACCGTTAAGCTTAGTCATGAGGAGGTTTTCCTCATAAAATTCTTCTTTATTTCTCAAAAAAAAAAGGTTCTTGTAAATATTTGTCGTCGTTTAAATTCATCCTTCATCATGTTACGCGCACCTAAAGCCTCTACAATGGGTGTAAAAATCGAGAAATATTGTATTTATGCAGCCGCCTAAATAGGTGTTACTTGGAGAACTGATGTACGTCGTCCCGTACGCCTGTATCGTGAGACGACATCTATCGGTTTAGCTGAATATTGGTCAGTAAGTTGCAAATTAATAGTACTTCGAGTTACATAACATTGGGCCCGAATCCGGCCTGTCCTAAGAATTTCTGAATAAATTACTGTATAATATTAGCCATTGGAAAAAAATAGCAATTTACAACATTATTTTCAGGGAAAGGTAAAAACGAAGTTAATCGACTTGATTTTCCTACCTGCTATAGTAGCAATTGTAAGCCTGTTTTGCCTTAGGAACTTCTGGCACTTCGTGGATGCTTTTCCGTCTGGAGACGGTGCCTCCAGCATTCCTGCATCTGGCGAACTCCGGCCATCGAGGTCGAGCTCTGGGCTCTTCACTGTCCTTACAGCAGGCATCACGCTAGGAAGGTCGTTTTCGCCGAAAGGATTGCTTACGGCAGCCAGATGTGAATCAGTCGGTGGAACGACGGGATGCGCTCTTGGCGAATGCGGTGAAGCGGGCCGACAACCTTCACAGTTTAACTCGGTTTCCCCAGTGCTGCGGTAATATCCACCGCGCATCGACTGGAATTTAACAAACAGGGTCCCGTAAATTTACTAAGCGAACGTATTTATGTAGAGCCATTGAGTATAGAGTCAGAAAGAAGACAAAGCGGATTAAAATCGCTGAATTGCAGTAACGTCATCATAATGTAGAATCTTTGTTTATTTCACTGATTTCACACTCATTTATCTAAGCCAATATTATATATATATATATATATTGAAGCGCCGAATCAGCCCGTTCACTTGTCTCGTTATCATACCTAGACAACCGAACTTAGAGCAAAAAACAATAATGAAATTTAGAGCTAAAAGTAAGAACTTGGAAAATGTACCAAAACACATGTTACTGGATAGTGTATAAGCTCTATAGGATCGGCTTTATTCTACCGATAGAATATATTAGCGTTGTGTAAGGGCTTCCAGGTGTATGGGCACTTTACCTAAAACATACGTTATTGTCAGGAGGTCTAACTTAAACGGGCTAAATAAATGAGGCAATTTTGAACTTCACAGGCAAACTTAACAATTCATTCAATCGTTATTGTTTCAATTACGCGTTCTAATGGTACACAGCAAATAATGCAGCACGCGTGCCTCGGCCATATACAACTAGGTAATGGTTTTTCGTGATTGGTTTACATGTTCGGGAGGTGAATTTAAGTAGTTTAATAGCTTAAGTAGGTAACAATGTTTTATGCGAAAACCAAGAAGTGCCATTATTTTCAACATACATCTGACTATTGCATGTGTCGAGTCTGCGCTACAAAGTTAAAAGTCTTTATAGCTACAGTAAGGGGTTTTGGGGGCTGTTTGCAGCGTACATCTATTTGTTGGTTATATATAAAGAAGAACATTTTAAAAAAGATAGTTTCACCGTGTCATATGTCGCTGTTGAATTATATTGCAAACTCAAACCCTTCTTTCAACAACTGCCATTAGCGGCTACTGCAAAAAATCTGCCATGGCAACAATGAACACAAACAACACCGGCGCACGCATTTGGTCTACGAGGCAAATTTCGGCAGTGAGATCTCGATAGTTTGCCTTCGGACACGCTTACGTGCGATATCACAACCAACCTGCAAATTCTACAAAATAGTGCAGATGAATGAATCCGAATAGATAGGAGGACAGCAAAAAGGCCGAGGCGGGACTGACTGGTGGATTCGTTTCGGTCCTCGCAGACGGCGAAGCCACCATTGATATGACGTGCCCGTATTGCATCGGTACGTAAAATATCACCCAGCTTTATCAGTGCAAACGTTGTTGTGTGCGTCGCACATGAATGAAAAATGTAAACGAGCTAAACACCTCTCTTTTTATAGCTTGTGCACATTTCGGCACATTATCGAGATTTAGGTTCTCCAACGTTAATGGAACTGCGGGAGCATGATCGATTCAAGTTGCCAGTATCTTCGTTTACTCTTTTCGAAACCGTCCCATGTCTGGGATGCATAAAAGTATAGCCATAAGACAACTCATTCAAACCGGTACTTCAGTCCGTTCGGTGCTTCATAGTGGACACACTTCGAAGGGTGTCCAATAAAAGTAGAACACCGACGTTTCTTAGGGAACCCCGTTCTTGCTCTATTGAGGGAACAGATCTCCATTGTATTTAATTAGTATTCAAATATTTTATTTCATCAGTAAGCGGAAAAAAGTGAATAAATACATTGATTTACATGCATTTTCGGGATAACAGTTCTCGCTGTTGAATAATTTCCAAACAGAAAACCTTCGTAGAGCCGTAATACAATGACTGGCGACTGTCTTTTTAGGCTTCTCCGAATAATCGTTAACTTATGAACTTGGATCTTAAAATCGAACCGCAGCCTGTCAAAACATCGGTCATAACATTTACGGCACCTCCATCAATGCCGAGTTGATGATTTTTGGCGGTAATTTTTTTTTTTTGTTAGAGTACATTGTGTTATGTACGAAACTAGCTACGGTTGTGCCGAAAGCATTGTGTGCTCTTTGAGCGTGCGGAAAAGCAACTAAGGGCTATTTCAGTGATTAAAAAAGGATGGGAACAAAAAGCAAGAGGTGTCTCTAAGAGTTGCAACGCATCGCGTGTTTACTAAACTGACCGGATATTCCTATTGATAAACGTTACACCTAGTCTATTTTGGAGCGTGAGATAAAGTTAAACGTTTCAACACGTTACGAAATCAGAAAAATCAATTCATCACAGTACCAAAAGGCAGGTTTGTCTCTCGCTACAAAGCCAAGGAATGATGGTTTGGGTTAAAACAAGCAATTAACAGAATCGTTTACCGTGCAGTTCGGCCAGCCTTCAGTCGGCATTCATTTGTCGAGGCTCGCATATTGTTCGAAGTAATATGAATAGTATGTCTGTATGCAGGGATCGGCTACATAAAAATATTAGACATCCATTTCAGGGTGTACTAATCGTACCGTGAACGTAAAAGTGGGAAATAACACGTCGTGCATTTTCTCCGGCATCAAAAAGCGAGCTGATTTTTTCTTTGTCCACTCTTGGTTTTGATTGTTTCGCAGCCTCCATCTCTGAGGTTTCCCCGGGCACCAGCGCCGAGAAAGATGTGAAATATGCGCGCTCGGCCTTGTAAGCACGACCTTCATCTGTGTCCCTACGACTGACTTGGTCATCTTCTCTCCCTTCTTACATTAGAATGCTTCTTATCCAGGCCTTTTCCTTGCTTCTCACTTGTACTAGTTGTTTAGCATAGATCAACAAATGTAAATTCTTTCTAAGCTCTTCACTTCATTCGGAGGTTACGCTACAAGCAGTTTTATAGCATTTATAGTGAAGTTCTAACGCAGAATAGTGATACCGTGAAAGCTTGAAAGATAGTGAAGTACTATCACGAAATATTTTTATTAAATTGACCTCCCTTGACGTCTACAGGTGGCATCTGCAGCACCGATTTGCTTAATTTCGTATCGATCATTCGGTAGATGTCTAGTTAATTATCAGCTTAATGAAAACACAACTCTCTTCTAAGTAGATATATTCAGAAACACACTTTGTATTACAAGTAGGTTTACTCCAAAGCTAAACCTCCCAAGTATTAGCCTAAGCCATTAAAGACAGTCTTGAAAACTTAAAATTTCAAAACTATTTTTTTTTTTTATTGCTATTCAGTTCTACTGCTAAACCAGTTGCAATGCAGATGTACAATGATCTTGGCAACTTTCATAGGGTTTTATAGAAACTCATGTATATTACTGTTACGGCCTAGTGATGAATAAAATTCGATTGACATTGAACCGCAGGCCGTTGACTTGCGTGTGGTTAGAAGAAAAACCCCTGTTCAAGTCTGACAGACGAAGCTCTATTTGTACGAACCGTTGACTCGGCATCAACTCGGAAAGCTCGCGGTCGAATCTTCAAAGTTTCGTTATTCGAGCACCCCGTGCTTCTAGAAATTTCAAGGACGCGATTGTCGGGTTCGATTTGTCACAGCAATCGGTCCCTTATGACAGGCAGTGAACGGGTTTTTACCATTATACGTACATCGAACTAGAGCCAAGGTGGACATTTCAGTTAATCAGGTAATCCTCAAGGCGTTTGTAACTGTCAAAACATTATTCGAAGTTGGCCTTACCATAAACACAGAATCTCTCCGAAAAACTACTATGAAATAAGTCCAATCAGTCAATATAGCCTCAGTCCTGTAAAAAAAATAGAAGCTCATTGCCAAAACACTAACAATGTTGTGAGCTTTTAGCGTCAAAAATATTGTAGACGCGCACGAACCAAAAATTAGCTCTGTTATCGACGAAAAACAACAATAGCAACAATATAGCAATACATACACACACACACACACACATATATGAAGTTATGTCTAGCTTATTTCATTAATAATAATAACAGTAATAGGAAGGATTTGCAATGCATCTTAATTGTTAAAGGGAAATGCCCTGAGCTTTGGCTGAACGAACGCTGTCAGGCAAAACCTCTTCAAAATTGTCTACGTTACGCTTTTGGCATTGTCGCTTTTTCATTACGTGTCGCCCTACACAAATGCACATTGATCGATCGTGGACCGATTAGACACATCGGAAATGAAGCTATACATCGTTTTCGTGCGTTCTATGTGTATATCTAGTTAATCTAGAATATTCGCATAGGTATCATTGGCAATGAAGCTCTGGATAAATCCAGTTTCCTATTTTGTCAGCAGAGGAGAAAACTACGTCTTGTTTAATTTGGATCCCACGAAGGGGACAACATTCTGCGTACCGCTACTTCTAAAAGGCACTATTGATCTTACTGCACGCCAAGCTATCAAAGCTAGAAGATTGAATCTCGCAATGGAGGGCTAGTTTCGGCATGATAGGTTGTTTTATCTTCGCATCGCAGTTGATATTGCCCGTTGCACGAGAGCGCGCTCCGCTAAGAATATCTGATGAATGTAACGAACGGATAATACGGGAAAAAAAAAACAACTAATATCGAGCCATCGAGTGATCGAGAATTAGATGTCGAAACATTTGATTAAGGTCTGTTCGGACAATGTTTCGAATCACCGCTAATTGTCCGTAAATGGTTTGTAGGCTGTTTTCTGTCAATTATAAGCTAGGACAAACTGGAGACTGAGAGCTGATCTCTCTATTTGGTGGGCGTTTTGATTTAAACAGAAAGCAGTACGGTGCTGCAGAACAGTTATGGCATGATACATTTGAGTGAAGCTTAAACTGACTGCAAAGGTCGTTCAAGTGCGATAGATTGTACAAAAGGAGCAAAAATCTCTAGGGAGCTAACAAAAATGTCTCTCTATGTCTATATGAGACATGTATATGTATTTTATGCGAGAATCAGGCTCCTCGAAGTCCACGTGCTCGGCTTCGTGGTGACACTGGGTACTTGTTTTGAAAGGAACGGTCCTATTACATATCTCAATACTTTTCTATATTAATTAGAGAACCTGATTACAAAAGAGTCACCGATGGCTCAGTAACCAATGAATATTGGCTTTCAATGTGCGGTTCATTTGATTGGGTCAAGAAGAGCAACTCACCATGTGACG